GGGCTGAGTGAGATGACCAGCAATGACGGCAATGGGCTGGTGCCCAGGCTACCGCCCGGAACTTAGTGGTAGTAAAACCGGATTTTCTTGCTTGTCTTTTTTTATTATTTTCCGCGTTGGTGTAATGTTTCCTTTTCTTTTTTGTGTGCATGGCGTCGTTCTGGCTGGTGTGCCGCCGCAGTGGGTGCAGCCGAATTCGTCTCTGAGAGTTTAGGGCAAACGATGTTTGACGCTTCTGTTCTCTTGACGAGTTGCCATCCTGGGCGTGTGGGCGCCTGCTCCGTGCGTTGTTTGGGCTGCACGCACCGGGCGAGCAGCCTGGAAACTGTGGGCACGTTGACGCCGCCCTCCTGCTTCTCCTCCTCCTCTCTTGCCGACTGAAGGAGTGGGCGCGGGAGGGGGCCGCCTCGCTTTATTCTGCGGGGCTTTTTTGTTTTTGTGTTTTTGCAGGGGCAGCGGGGCAATTGAGGGCAAACTCCCCCTTGCGGGGGTGCGGGCTTCGGAGTTGTTTGCGGTGAAGGTAAACAGTGTGTGTGTGTGTTTCAGCGAGGGAGTGGGATGATCGGATTTGTTTGTGTTCGTTTCTTTTGTTTTCGCACTCTTCGCGGGGGCGCAACAGCTGGGCGGCGGGAAGGTGAAACACCGCGGGGGTGCACGGCCGCAGCCAACTTGTCGGTTTGCTATTGACAGGGCGGTGTGCGTCGCAGCCTCTGCGTCGCAGAGCGACCCTCGCCGGCTGTGCGGCAGCGGCGGTGCGTGAGGTGGAGGGGAATGTGTTGTCCTGCGGCGGGGCATTGTGGGCCCGTGCCTCTCGTCTCCCGCCTGCTTTTTTTGTGGCTGTGAGGACTTCGGCCCCGGTGCTGGTGAGCGGGTGAACAGACACACTGCCACGTTGGGTGCAAGAAGAAGAAGAGGGGAAAAAAATGTGGCGCTGCTTTGGGCGGTCGCGCGTCGCACGGACGCGGGGCTGGCGGTGCGCCTCGGTTCTCTCGACGCGAGGCGCCGCGGCGCGACAAGCGGGGGGGCAGCGGCGGCGGCGGCGGAAATGGACCCTCGACAGCCGCGTGCAGGAGGTGCTGGTGGCGGGGGTTGGCCCGGTCAGCGAAATGAAGCTGAACGACTTCTTCGCGAGCACGTTGGCCGCGCGAAGTGCGTGGACGAAGGCAGGAATGTTTCCATGGAGGTGTTTGCCCGTGGGCCGCGCAGGTACGTGAAGGACAAGCAGCTTCTTGGGGAGATTGCCAATGCGCCGAGGTATCGGCGTTTCCTTTTTGCGCGCAAGCTGGCGGAGAAGGGGGTGGTGACTCTCCGCGACTGGAGGGAGGTTGGGGTGGGGCTCCCCGCGCCTCGTTTTCGCACGGAGACGACTCGACGCGGCCCTGGCGGCGGCGGAGGGGGAAGCGGGAAGGAAGGAAGCAGACGAAAGGGCAAGGCGGGAGGAGGAAAAGACAAGCCGAACGCTACCGGAAGGCCTCTACGGCTCTGTGCTTAACGCGAGGTGGAGCCACGTCTTGGGGTTTCCCGAGGGCGCTGGGGAGGAGGATGGGAGGGCGGTGCGGATGGAGGTGAAGGAGGGCCAACGGCCAACGCAGCCGTGGGAGTACACTTCTCGACGCCTGCTTTTCCAAAAGAAGAGTGTTGCGGGGCAGTACTCCCCACCGCGCCCCAGGCTGGTGATACTCTCCTCCGAGAAGGGGTGGCCGCACTCGCTGCAGGAGGGGGAGGGCGTTACCGACTGCTACGTGAACTGTGAGGTGGAGCGGGTGTGGCAGTTTGTCAGAGACGACCTGCGCGACATGTTCGACAGACTTCTGCCGCGCTTGTTTCCGGCTGGACCGATTTTTCATTGTCGGGACAGCGGGGATCGGGAGGTCGATGAACGTTGGCTCCTACCTCCTCCACCAGCTGCTGCACTGCGACGCCGCGAAACCCGGTGCGGTGGTGCACTGCTTTGGGGGAGAGTTGGCGTACGTGTTTGACAAGACCACTCAAACGGTGACGGAGCACGCGGGCGCGATGAACATTATCGCTGCCACGGGAGACTTGGCTCGGCGCGGGGTGAAAGGGTACGTGATCTACGACGCGGCAGAGGAGGGAGCGCCGCCGTCGTCAGAATTACGGCCTGCTGCATGGGGCATGGCTGTGGTGGCGCCCTCAAACGAAAGTGGCTTCAGCGCATGGGCGGGGACAGTGAGTGCCCGTCGCATCATCATGAACTGCCCCGACGAGAACGATGTGAAGGCGATGTGTGCCTGGCGGACGCGAGACCGTCCCGCGCAGGAGCAGGCGGAGTACTGGGAGACGGCCAAAGCTCGCATGCACTTCGCCGGACCGCGGCCACGTGACATCTTCAGCGAGGGCGATTGGAAGGAGCGCACTGCGGCGGTTGACGGCGCCGTGCGGGTGACTGACGCCCCGGTTGCCGAGGACGCCTGCGCTCGGGAAGGCGAGAAGTTGTGGTGGGCGGGAATCCGTTTCAGAGGCCTGTGGGGAGTGCGCGGGAGAGTGAGGCCTGCGTTTTGGAGATCATTCGCACAGCTCCGGCGTGCGGCTTCCTCGGGCAAAAGCTACTGGGCCGTTTGGCGGAGGTCGTGAGCCTCGCGGACGCCCTGTTGCTGTCGCCGCGTGCCTCTAGTTTTGCCGAAATATCCTGAGATCGTGTGTTCCGGGCCCACACACACACGCTGGGGGAGGAGGGCCTTCTGCGGGAGCGGCATAAAAAAGGGACGGAGGGGCTCGCGAGCCTGCGGCCGCCAACGGGACGGCAGGCAAGGCGCTGCGTGTTGCGGGCGGGCCCGGCGTCGCGTCCCGGGCAAAGGCTTAGAGATGTGGGCGCCGCAGGAGCCTTCAGGCTGAGAGGGCGGATGGACGCAACGTGCGGGGAGTTGCGCGGGAGCGGCGGTCAAGAGCTTTACGCCGTTGGGCGCCT